GGTTTTGATTTATGATCCAAATCAAAAGTAGAAACTGGACTTCCATTATTATCTTAAGGGGTGCATGAGAGGAAAGGAAAAAAAAATCGAAGATTATAAAATCACATGACACTTAAACACCATAATGCGACCAATTACCATTGTGTCTGAAATTTTTAAGTTAATTTACATACGGTCATTTATGTTGTAATTACTAATAATAATCGTCTTTATTTCTTATTATATTTTAGGAACCTTATTATTATGTGTAATTCATCTATTAAAGTCGGCAATGGAGTTGTCAAATCAACTAAATGATCCATTTATTCCATTTTCGGTGGCATCACACAATCCATGACTTTAATCAAGGAGGAAAAAAAATGCAAGAACAACTTGATAGCTGACAAATTCTATGTTCTAATAGTAATATAATCTAAGTTATCAAGTTATGTATACCTTTATACTAACGAGTAACCAAAAAGTCAACTCTATCCATGCTGATGAATCTAAATCCTGGAGTTGGAAATATTGGAATCAATACATGTTAGTAGATGCGACCTTTCATGTGTATCTTGAAACATAATACGATACTACAAGTTTACGTATTGCACTTTCAGTTACATTTCCACACTTTGAACAGGCATGTTAGCTCTTTTTAGTGCATGGCAACGATAATTGATTGTAGATTTTTTTTTTGGGGTTATCATGTTTTCAAGATAAAGATTCTCTTATGATGAGTAGTTATGATTCTCTAGCATGCTCACTCTTTAAGAGCTTAACTGGTATATAGTTGTAAATCATTGTAAGGAGCGTGTATGAAAAAAGTTTAGGAAAGATATACAAAAAGAATAGAAAGCTAATTAACCCCTTAATTAGATTTACGTGATTGAATTGGTTTAACCATATTGGCCCCTTCTTTACAACCACCACCACCACTACCACCACCCTTCCCCTCAATCAAACCTGCCTCCAATCCCCTTATTAAATTCAACAATAACAACTTATTGTGAATTTAAATTACACATTTAATAAAAAGGACGACATATCACGTATGTTTGGATTCTAACTAGTAATTTTGATTTAAGTTAAACTTATACAAATTGTTGAAATTTATTTAGTATCACTTGTGAATGCCCCATATTAGAGTAAGAAGAGAGAAATTTTAAAAATTTGATAAATCACAACTTATGTGATTTATCAAATTTTTAAAAATTTCCATTGGAAACGACATATTACATATTTGGTTATCAAAATTTTAAAATAATTTATTTGAAAAGGACAGTACATATCACAGATTTTGGATACTAGCAACTACTTTGTATGATTTAAGTTGAAAGTCATATAAAATTAATTTTAGTATTAACAATATTTATAATCAAAAGATGTTAACTGTTTTAAGGCCCCGTTCACTTTACCTTATTTTTACTGAACTAAAATTAATTTTACTGAACTTTAATTATTTTTGCTGAACTTAAATTATTTTTACTGAATTGAAATTGTTTTTACAGAACTGAAATTAATTTTGCTGAACTAAAATTATTTTTTACTGATTCTCTATTATATTTCTTCTTTAGAGTTACTAATTTTTTGCTGAACTAAAATTATTTTTATTAAACTGAAATTAATTTTACTGAACTAAACTTATTTTTTGCTGAACTTAAATTATTTTTACTATTTTTTTTTAAGGTAAATTGAAAGAGGCCTAACTTCTAAAACATGGTCTCGTGAAAAAAATGTGTTAAGACTATTGCAAATTTGCAACAAAAGGGAGTAACTTATTTATTCAACAAATTTATTTGGTTTATTAATAGATTATCCACCTACTAGTATAGGGGACCAATGTCATGTATGCAATGACTTTTGTAAGCCCAATGTATCGAAGTCCATAAAACCTCAACCTAAACACTTTTTCCCTTTGAAGGACTATGGTAATAAATGAGGCTCACCCTCTTTCTCCTCTTCTCACTCTTATTCGACCTAACATGATATCATTCAAAAACGAACAAGATTATATTTATGGATTTATAGTTGATTAAATAAACTACTAATACATGATGAACATATATGAAATATATTATTTTTTATATCATTTAAAATTTAGAATACTATACTCTGATTACTTGATTTCAACTTCTCAACATAAATAAATACTCTTTCCGTTTTTTTTTTATCCTACCCACTTTTTTATTTTAGGTTGTTTCTTTTAAATCCTACTGACTTTGTTTTAATCTATTTATGCCATTTTTTTTAGCATCTTACCCTCCAACCTCACAATAATTACACCTTTTTATACTATAGCTCTTATTTTATTCATTTTTTTCTTATACAAACCCACCTTTTTACATTCATTCTCTTTTCAGATTCTTTAATTTTTAAATTTTGTGTTTATGGTAAGTGAGTAGAATATAAAAAAACGAAGGTAGTATCTATTTCCATTTTTTTTTTTTAAAAAAAAAAAAAATAGAACAATAGCACAAAGAGATGGAAAGTTGAAGTACAATAATAAACAAAAACAAAAGAATGTAAATTCTAATGAACATAAACTAGCTCCAATGAACATAAAATTATTTTAGTTATAGTTCTTATGTTTAATTAAAGTTTTATATTCATTGGAATAAATGTTTATGTTATCTTGATGTTCACTATGTACATAGTGAATATATATTGTGCATACGCCAACACTATCATACTTGCGGTTGACGAATTTGGTTTGATATGCGAAGTTAATGAATACCTGTATTCTCTTCAATTCAGCATAATTTTAAGGGACTTGTTATTCATCGCCCGCAAATCTCTACATAAAGCCCACATTTTATAATTTTTTTTGACAAATTTGCCCTTTTTTATAATTTTAACGGAAGATAAATTTTTCGCACTAAAAAAATGTGGAGCAGCACCGGATCGCCGAGGATCACCGGAGAATCGCCGTCGTCATCGGAAAACGAGGTTCGTAACGCATCGTAAGGACGAAATGGTGGCTGGCGCCTAGCCAAAGGCCATGCCGTGGTTGTGGCGCCTAGCCAGGACGCCGCCACCGTGGTCACGGCGCCTGGTGGAGAAGCCTCGACCATAGTAGTGGCGCGTGGCCAGGACGCCGCAGCCACGGCCAAGGCGCCTGGCCAGGACGCGCCACCATGGCGGCGGCGTCCTGACCAGGCGCCCCGGCCGTGGCTCCGGCGTCCTGGCCAGGCGCCAGTAAGGGAATATTTTTTTTTTTTTTTTTTTTTAATTTAATCCCTTTTTTTTTTTTTGTTTGTTTTTGTTAATTTAATCTTGATGTAATTATATTTATACGTTATATGTTATTGTTACAGGATTATGGTGGAGACGGAAAATGATTACAGTGGGATTTTTTGTACATGATGGCCTGTTCGAAGATGCTCAACAAGCGATTGATTGGGCAAAACAGGTTGCAATTAGATCAGGCTTTTGTTTAGTAGTAGCAACTCATAAATCTCAAACGGGATGGTAGAATGGATCGCATTTTGAGATGCGACCGTTATCGCAAAAGAGAAGAACGAGATTTCAGTAAAGCGATTCGGTTTGACTCAAAGCGGAAAGGTTGTGGGTGTCAGTTCCGAGTTAAGGTTCGACAACATCAAAGGCGTGACGGTTGGGAAGTGAAGGGTTTACGGCAAAATGGGGATATCACAACCATGAGCTGATAGCATACAAAGTGGGGCATCGGCAGTTAAGCGGCCTAAGTCCAGCTGCGAAACTAGTTGTAAAAGAAATGAGTGATGCTCAAGTGAAGCCCGCTAAAATATTAGCGTCTGTGTTAGAGAAATTCCCCGAAGACCAGCCAAACCGAAGACACATCTACAACGTCAGACAGAAATTGAGGTTTGAACGGTCAGAGGGAAGGAACCCTATACAGCAGCTTCTGCACCAGGCACAAGCACGTGGTTACCTTTACTGGTTTGAATCTGACGAAGACACATCGGAGGTAACTCATTTGTTCCTTGTCCATCCTGATTGTGCTGATATGATTTCGTCTTGGCCATCTGTGATTTTGATCGATTCAACGTACAAGACAAACAAGTACAAGTTCCCACTGGTTGAGATGGTTGGGATGGCTCCAACGAACCAGAACTTTCTGATTGGTTATGCAGTCATGAAGGATGAGACGGCTGCGAGTTACCGTTGGGTGTTGGAAAAGTTGAGAAACTACATCGGCCCAAATGTACAGCCATCGGCCATCGTAAGTGATTGTGAGGGAGGTCTTTTTGCCCCTATAGCGGAGCTGTTTCCGGAGTCGAGCCATTTACTGTGCACATGGCACATCAACAACTGCGTGAAAGTCAAAGCCTACAACCTTTTCAACAAGAACTTAGATTCAGCAGAGAGATTGGTAAATGGTAAGTGGCGGAAGATCCTGCAAGCTACCACGGAGGCAGAGTACGATCGAGCCTTGGAAAACTTAAAGGATGCGTACAAGTGGTGCCCGCCAATCGTAGACTATGTGATGCATCAGTGGGTACCTCAGAGGGAAAAGTTTGTCAAATATTGGACGAACCAAGTTCTTCATTTTGGGAACACTACGACATGCAGAGTCGAGAGCGCTCATAGAGCTTTGAAGGACTGGATTGATTCTTCCACGGCTGCTCTGGATACACTGTTCGAGAGAATAAACAAGGCTATTGATACTCAGAGGAACGGCATCAAGAACTATCTCGAGGACTCCAGACGACGACATGGCATGTTGTATGGCCATTTCATATTTAAGATTCTCCACGGTCGTGTGTCACACCACTGTTTGGGGTTGATTCTGAGCGAGTATACCAGGATGAGGGAGTTGGGCGATGAAGTGGCTATTCGGTGCGGATGTGCTATATCAATGACTCATGGATTACCTTGTGCATGCACCATTCACCGCGTAATTACGCAAGACAGGGCGTCGTTACATGTCGATCAGGTTCATCCATTCTGGCGGACGCTCGTTATCGGAGAGCATGCTGTTCCGCATACGGTTCACCGTGAACAGGAGGAGTTGAGCAGTTTCAGATGATGTTTGACAAGTGTCCTCCAGTCACCCTTCGATCATTCGTAGTGCTACACACATACTTCATGACATGTTCAATACATCGTGTTTGGATACCGAGGAACCGGAAGGGGTCGAGCGACCTAGGGGTCGACAACCACGGCGGAACAAGAGTGCGTTTGAGTACATTCGCGGTCGTGGCCGTGGCCGTGGCCGTGGCCGTGGTCGTACATCCTCATCAAGTGGCAGCCAATCATCGTCGTCGGTGAATATGCCCGGCACCGGTAAGACATTCGACTTCAATTTCTTTTGTTGACTGTTTGATTAGTTTACTGTTGACTTGTTTATTGTGTTTATTGATGTGTGTAACAGGGAGAATGGACATTGAACATTTTCCATATAAGGACAGGATCCCTAATATCATGATGCCATTCTTGGACGGGTGGAATGATGTCATTGCAGATGGTAACTGCGGATTTCGGGTTGTGGCGGATGTGTTTCAAATGGGTGAAGACAACTACGGTTTAGTGCGGCAGTTGATGTACAGTGAAATCGCATCAAACCGAGATGTGTATGGCCATGTGTACGGCGAGGACTTGGATAGGTCTCTGCAGCGTATCCGGTGGGGAGGGGGACCTTGCGGTCAAAATCATTGGTTCGATGCGCCACTTGATCTCTTTGCCGTTGCAAACATCTACAAGTGTGCAGTCATGCATTTCGGCCTTGGTTTACATAGTCGAGCCTATTATCCATGTACAACGGTTCTGCCCTGGTGTTCGCGCGAGACCGTCACCAGACCGGTAAGGGACGTTGCTATTGGATTTCTTGGCCGTCATACAGACATTTTTATCCGATTAGACATGTCACCCGATTTTCCGGTCCCAAATATCATACCGAAGTGGTATGAAATTCGTAGAGCAAGCGTGGAGGGTTGGGATGCTTTGTACCATGCTCGCGTGCAACAGTGGAACAATTTAATTGCCATGTAGTTTTTGTTGATGTACACCTACCTTTTACTATGAGGCCTTGTATTGTCAATACTATGTCATTTCTATGTGTTCATTTTTAAAAGATAATGTTTCATTTTAAAAACTAACAACAATAATTTCAAATATTACAAACTAAAAAGATAATATTGAATTTTAAAAACTAAGAACAATAATTTCAAATATTACAAACTAAAAAGATAATGTCTAATTTCAAATATCAGTAATCCCTCTGTGACGCCCACTGCCACTGCTCAAGGGTCCGTTCCAGATCGTCAATAACAGCTCTGCCTGATGCACTCGTCATGCAGTCCCTTTCCTCAAAAAGTCGGTGTCCCAACTGCATAATCTTGCCCATCCACTACACAAAACATAAAACATGAAACGACGTATTATACATATATATATTAAAATAAGAGAACAACAAATAAAAGATGAGACGTACCGCATAAGAGGCAGTGGCAGGTGGCACATCGTCATCATCTGCGTCGTCGATGTCTTTGATCAACCTCGGGTGCGAGTGCCGGATGTACCATTCCATGTAGTGCTGGTCACACATGGCAGTCACCCCACTTGGCGGCCGCTGCAGCTCCGCCGTCCATAGGCGGGCAACCATCGGAAACTGCTCCCACATGGATATCATGTTTGACGGCCATTGGACGACGTACTCCTTCGACGACGCAGATCGTACGCCTTACTGGGCCATGCCGGTGGAGGTGGGACAACTTGGACAAATCCAAGCTGGCGAAGACAGCGCTGCGGCATGTACGCCTCTACGATCTCGCGATACTGAATCAGTCCAGTGTAGAGGGTCCTGGGTACCCTATTACTAGGGTTCTGGCCGAAAGGCATCCAGTTCACCTGCACATTATTTAAAATCAGTAACAGTCATAAAATAAAGCATCAGATTGTAAAAGTAGAAATAATTTAATCACTGTACCTCTAAGGGGACATCCTGTCAAGCGATAACCGTATGGAGCGCAGGCGGTCAACGGACTTCTTCTCGACACGCGGACTCCACGCACAGGCACGTGGCTGGCCATCACCAATGGGAACCGGGTCGCGGTGTGGTCGAAACGCAGGAAAATACTCGTATATCCAGGTCTGTAACGTCAGACATCCAGTGATACCTGCTGCATCAGCCCGGCTCGAGAATCCTAACTGGCGATACAGATACGCCAGCGTAGCCGACCCCCAAGAAAACTGGCCTACTCTGTCGGGATCACACGCGTCAACTATGTCGCGTGGCCTGAGCTTGTTCCCGCTCTTATCCGGAAACAAGGTACACCCGAGAAAAGAAAAACATATGCAGCCAGCTGTGTGTCCTGCGTCCTACGTGCCGTAGGGTGCAAACATCGCTGCAAGACGGCTGCGATCTTAACGCCGCCGTGATCCCACACACCAAGTGCCGATGTGTACAGCGCAGCCCTATCCACCGCCAACAGCTCCGCTAGTAAATCTGCCTGATCCGCATCAGTGACGACAGATGCTCGGTTTCCCTCCACGGGAATCCCAAGGATGGCCTCGACGTCATGCAACATGATCGTCATCTCACCGAACGGAAGGTGGAACGAGTTCGTATCCGGCTGCCATCGCTCAACGAAAGCCGTGATCAGCGTCCAGTCAATCCTGTCGTGCATGGTGGCAGGAAGGTGACTCACTAGTGGCCCTCAATCGCCTGACCATCTCGCTCTCCTCCGGCCAAGCATCAGCCCAGCTACACAAAAACCTACAAGTCTTTTCCCGGGTTTGGCATTTCAAAATGCCTGTATCCAAAGCCCTCTCCTGGTCCTCCCAAATACGGGTAGCGATGTGTCCTAAAAAGCTAGGAATCACACTCCCGTCTATAGGTCCCCCGGCCACCTCACCCCTCACCATCCAAGAATCATTAACGGCCCTCGACCGTTTTCTGCTACCCGCAGACACAGTGGACGCAGATGATGTGCCAGATCTACTAACAAACCTACCATCTCGACCCTTACGCACATCTACCCTATGCGTCTCATACGTATCATCAAGTCTCTGACTGAATGGACCGTAATCATCATATGGTCCACTCTGATCGTCGACATCCTCATCTGCATCATCCTCGTCCTCGACCTCCTCCTCCTCGACCTCCTCCTCCTCCTCCTCATCATCATCATCATCATCTTGATCGTCCGCAGAACAGTGCACCCGTTCTCTGCGGGCCGATGCCGAAATACCACGGGATCTAACGTGTCTGGGCCCCGAGCTCTCCATTGAGTAGATCGTACTCCTCACGACGTCAATACTCTTCCCCGCACCAGGTCTAAATTGCGATGCCTAACTCCAAGTAAATAACGAAACATAATAACGAAAACAAATTAAAAAAAGTCGAAAATAAACACAAAAGCAAATAAACAAGTCACGGAAATAAAATTATAAACATAAAAAATATAAAATTAAAACAAATAAAAAAACAAAATTTAAAAAAAAAAGATAAAAAAAAAAAGGGAACATACAATTTAAAAAAAAGAAAAACAAATTTTTTAAAAAAAAAAAAAAATCGAAAATAAAATTTAAAATTAAAAAAAAAACAAAAAAAAAATTTTAAAAAAAAAAAAAAGAACGAAGCGCCTAGGCAAGGCGCCCGTACGGTGGTGTCGGCGCCTAGCCCAGACGCCACTACCACGGCCGTGGCGCCTAGCCTCTGCGCCGCTGCCGTGGTAGTGGCGTCTGGGCTAGGCGCCGCCACCACCGTACGGGCGCCTTGCCTAGGCGCCTCCTCCGTGGTGATGGCGTCTCGCCTTGGCGCCCCACCGTCGCCGGAGGTTTTTTTTTTTAAAAAAAATTACAAAAATTAAAAAAATTACCTTCTGGCCGGCAAACCGCCTTCCGCCCACCGCCGGTGCCGCCACTTCCTTGCCGGGCCGCCTCGACATAGCTCTGGAAATAATTTAGAGAGAGAAAGTGGAAGTAGAGAGTAGAGAGAGAGAAATTGTGTGTTTTTTAGTATGAGGGCAAAAGTGTCATTTCACTCTTATTTGTGGGCTTTATGTAGGAATTTGCGGGCGATGTTTAA